ATAAATAAATAAAGTGGGAGAAACCAAAGACTAAAATGTTACAAATTTTAACTAAGTTAAAGTTACTTCTAACTGAATATGGAAGGAAAGAGGCAAGAAACGTTGGCTGAAGAAGCATACATTGGTTAAATTTTTGATTCTTTAGATTCTGATTCTTTCTTTGTTCAGTCATAACCTCGACTGAGAAACTAGTAAAGCTATAATTAGCAGTTATAAGCACATTAAATAAAATTCCATGTAAAACTATATTAAAAGAAGAAAAAACTAAAAAGACATTTAAGAAAAAGCTCTCAGTGATAAAAATGATAAAATACATTTTGGTACATTTTGGCATCATTTTCCTTAAAGCCATGTTCTGCACATATTATCATTCATCTAACTAAAAACTGGTGATTGGAACAGATCTTTTAAACATACTTTCAGCTCTATGATTGACTCATAATTAAATTGGGTAGAAAACTAACTTCATACCAACATGATTACTCCCAAAGCACTTATGTACGCAAAAGAGAGGAGGACTGTAAAATTTCAGGGTATCAGCAGGATGCAAGGTAGCAGTGGAAAACTGACCAGATACAGTAACTAGAAATAATTCCATCAAAAATAAAAACTAGCATTACTCATTCTGTAATGAATTATACTATAAAGTTTCAGTTACATCTACAAAAATGTTTTCTTCTAGTGCTCTATGTTTCCAAGCACGCAATAAAACAGCTAAGCTATGGTATCAGAAATTATACTACAGATCAAAATCTTCCACTAGTATTTATGCCAGAGTTTTTGGAAGAGGAGGTAATAATAAATAAATGTTACATAAACATAAAACTTTCACAGAGATGATATTTCTCAGAGTGGCAACACAACCTCCAGGCTGCCTGTAAGAGGAATTACAGCGGCTTGCCTCTAAGCTGCACTGCCACACAGCAACCAGGAAATCGAGGACTTCAATGGGTTATTTTAAAAATTCGAGTACTGACCAGTTGCTAGGAAAACAAAGTTGTATACCATGTCTCTAACATGGTTAAGACCTCAAAGACCTAAAGCCATCGGCAATATATCAAGAATAACCCACAGGTGCTTTAAAAACTGTTTTGTCCCTACAGCTGTTAAGATCCCACCGCCTCCCCAAATTAGTTTAAGAAAATGTTAAATGACATGATTATAAATTTGAAAACCTCAACAAGATTAAATTTCCTTTATAGTTCTATAATTTTATAAAGTTGGGTAAAGTGCACCTGATGTTCCACATTATTCTCTTATTATATACATAATATAGTGAGTATCACTGAAAAAAACTGAAATTTGATTAATACGTAAGGATCTTAATTTACTCAGCATAGACCTCCTAATATTCCTAAGAGTTTTAGTGGGAAAAGCTCAAAGTGCGCTTTTTAAGAAGATTTCATGTATTTAAAATTATGTATGTTTCTTTTACATGAAATAAATAAGTCACACATGTGTAAATACCAAATAGTTTCTCTGGTGTGAAAAACTAAAAGTGTACATAAGCTCCAAATGGTATAATTGACAATGTGAAACAGGAAGAAAAGGGCTAAAGGTGTAGGGGAGGTGGGAAGGGTAGGTAGGGGAAAGGAAATAAGGGAAAAGAAAAAATATGAGAAAAGGAAAAAAATGGAAAAAACGTTTTTTGTTAATAGGGAAGGGAGGAGGGGGTGAAGTGAGGACAGGGGTATGGGGAAAAAATGAGAACCAAGACTTGTCATGTAAAGGCAGAAGATCCCAATGATGCATGTAACTATACTGTATACCTAAAAAGTACCAATAAACTCAATGAGAAAAAAAAATTTTAAAAATCATGTATGTTTGTTACTGAGGAGAAAACAAATTTATACATAAAAGGAAACTAAAATCATCCATAATGAATACTTCAAATATAACCACCATTAACATTTTAGTGTCTTTTTTTTCAAGTACATTTACAAAAAAAAAAACCATACAGGGACAGAGATTTAGCTCAGTGGGTCTGCTGCCTGCCTCCCAAGAACAAGGACTCAAATTCAATCCTTGAGTATTTATGCCAGAGTTTTTGGAAGAGGAGGTAATAATAAATAAATGTTACATAAACATAAAACTTTCACAGAGATGATATTTCTCAGAGTGGCAACACAACCTCCAGGCTGCCTGTAAGAGGAATTACAGCTGCTTGCCTCTAAGCTGCACTGCCACACAGCAACCAGGAACTCGAGGACTTCAATGGGTTATTTTAAAAATTCGAGTACTGACCAGTTGCTAGGAAAACAAAGTTGTATACCATGTCTCTAACATGGTTAAGACCTCAAAGACCTAAAGCCATCGGCAATATATCAAGAATAACCCACAGGTGCTTTAAAAACTGTTTTGTCCCTACAGCTGTTAAGATCCCACCGCCTCCCCAAATTAGTTTAAGAAAATGTTAAATGACATGATTATAAATTTGAAAACCTCAACAAGATTAAATTTCCTTTATAGTTCTATAATTTTATAAAGTTGGGTAAAGTGCACCTGATGTTCCACATTATTCTCTTATTATATACATAATATAGTGAGTATCACTGAAAAAAACTGAAATTTGATTAATACGTAAGGATCTTAATTTACTCAGCATAGACCTCCTAATATTCCTAAGAGTTTTAGTGGGAAAAGCACAAAGTGTGCTTTTTAAGAAGATTTCATGTATTTAAAATTATGTATGTTTCTTTTACATGAAATAAATAAGTCACACATGTGTAAATACCAAATAGTTTCTCTGGTGTGAAAAACTAAAAGTGTACATAAGCTCCAAATGGTATAATTGACAATGTGAAACAGGAAGAAAAGGGCTAAAGGTGTAGGGGAGGTGGGAAGGGTAGGTAGGGGAAAGGAAATAAGGGAAAAGAAAAAATATGAGAAAAGGAAAAAAATGGAAAAAACGTTTTTTGTTAATAGGGAAGGGAGGAGGGGGTGAAGTGAGGACAGGGGTATGGGGAAAAAATGAGAACCAAGACTTGTCATGTAAAGGCAGAAGATCCCAATGATGCATGTAACTATACTGTATACCTAAAAAGTACCAATAAACTCAATGAGAAAAAAAAATTTTAAAAATCATGTATGTTTGTTACTGAGGAGAAAACAAATTTATACATAAAAGGAAACTAAAATCATCCATAATGAATACTTCAAATATAACCACCATTAACATTTTAGTGTCTTTTTTTTCAAGTACATTTACAAAAAAAAAAACCATACAGGGACAGAGATTTAGCTCAGTGGGTCTGCTGCCTGCCTCCCAAGAACAAGGACTCAAATTCAATCCTTGGTACCAAAAAGCAAAGAACAAAAAATAAATAAAAACATATATACTTCTTTTATTCTTTCTTTTTAACACAAATAGGATAAGTAGTATATGTACATAGTAATTTTCTTTTCTTCAATCTAAAAATTCTTGCATATTATTAACAAACTACTGCATAACAATGGCTGAATATATTTCAATTATGGACATAAAATAATTTATTAAACAGTCTCCTACTTTTATTTGTGTGGTTTTTTTTGTTTGTTTTTTTGTTTTTGAGACAGGGTCTCACTATGTAGGTGAGACTGACCTGGAACTCACTATGTAGCCCAGGCTGGTCTTGAACTCACAGCAATCCTCCTGCCTCAGCCTCCCGAGTGCTGGGATTACAGGTGTCTGCCACCACACCCAGCAGTCTCCTACTTTTAATATATAATAGTAAAAAAGAAACAGAAACAATCTTAGGACTATGGTGAGCAATGTTACATATATCTTCTGCATGTTTATCTTTCTAAAATTACTGTGCACGTATGTATGTTTTTAGGCTTTCTTTAGAAGCCTGTACAGGTAATATACAAAGACCCTAAGATGTACTATCCCAACATCAGCTTGAAAAGCATAAATTTTTTATTATTAAAAATAATCAGCTTAGGGCCAGGGATTTAGCTCCGCGGTTCAGTGGCCTGCCTCACAAGCGCAAGGACCTGAGTTCGATCCCTGGTACCAAAAAAAAAAAAAAAAAAAGAAAAAAAAAAGTATGTATGTATGTATATTTATGTATATGTGTGTGTGTGTGTGTGTGTGTGTGTGTGTGGTAAATTATATGGTAAATTTTTTCCCTAATAAAATATAGTTAGCATATAAAGAAACATAAGCACAATGTAACACCTTGGGAACATAATCAATAATACTAAAATAATAAATTGTACTGATTTTTAAACTTTATACAAGAATTATTAAAAAAATCCTACAAAATTACATAGAAGTATACAATCACAATTTTTTGCATATATGAGAAAAAGTGATCAGCATGTTAAACAAATTGGTAACACAAGACTGAATAAATGCTTAAGGTTATTCTTTAGAATAACAGCTGAAAATAAAATTCAAGTAGGCTACGCCCAATAAGAAATACAGTATATTCCTGTTAAGTTTAAAAAGTTTTTTTTCTGTTAGTAATCATTGTCAGCACCATTAGCAGCATCATTACTACTGAGGACTTTTCTTCCTTGAATAACAGCAACAAAGGCTCTGCACATTTTCAAAAAGTATGCTAGTGAAGAGCTAAGTATATTGATTAGAAATATGTTGTCCTTACAGTTTCAAGTGATTTTCCAAAAAATCAGTAAATACAAGAAAAAGGTAATCTCACCTTGACCAACATCCAAAAAATGTTTTATAGCAACTTTAGCTCTTCAGATATTAGGAAAAATGTTGTGAGAAAAACATAAAAAGTCAGTGTATAAATTCACTTAGTCATAGATTCTTCCTTTCTAGTATTCACAAGTATCACTAAGTACAATAAAAATAAAATTTGAGGGTACAGCTCTTTGTAAGATATTTAATTGAAGATTCATTTAATTTGCTTTAGTTAATACAACTGCCATTTGTTTTATTTATTTGTTTGTTTGTAGTGCAGTCACTTTGTAGTCCAGGCTGGCTTTGAACTCATTTTTCACTTGTTAAATGGAGCTGGAGGTTATGATAAAAATAAAACTTTAAAAATTACCTTCAAATAAACTGAGGTCTCTTCGTAGCCGTGGTCCATAAAGTCCTTCTAAAATACTCTCAAAACCTGTGTTTTAAAAGAGAGAATAGTATTAACTACTGGAAAAGCTTCATTTGACAACAGCTAAAAAACAAACTATCAACTAATTATTAACATACTATGAGTGCTATGTTTTTAGGTTAATCTGAAATAGATAATGTATAATAAAACAATCAGATGACTACCAGAAATTGCACGACTGTAAAGAAAATATTCAAATAGTATTCACTTCTGTCACAGTGTAGCTATGAAGTGCCCCCTCAAAGACTCTAGTGTCAAAGGCTTGATCTCCAGTGCAGGAATGTTCAGAAGTGGGACCTAGAAACATGTCTGGATCATGAGAGTACTAACCACAGTGCAGAGGTGTTATGGTTTATATCTAGATTTCCCCAAAAGTCTCATGCACTCTCAGGCAGATCCCCTGAAGGGTGACTGAATCATGGGAACACTACAGCTACATGTGATGTCAGGAGGTGGAGCTTGGTCACAAGAGGTATGTCACAAGGGGCATGACCTGGAAAGGTTTTATCTCCCTTCTCAGCTCCCTCCCTCTGCTTCCAGACCACTAAAACATGAGCAGCTTTTGCCACACTATAGTGAGCCCCTCTGCCACACTGTCCTGCCCTGGAAACAGCCAACTATGGACTAAAAACGTAAGTTAAAAAAAAAAAAAAAACTGCTCCTCCCTCAAATTATGGTGTGTTCCGTACTGTGCTCCAGTGACCACAAAGACAGTAAGACAACAGGTGAGTGGGCTATTAGGAGGTGGGACCTAACTGAAGGGAGTGGGTCACAAGGGTGTGGTGTTGGAAGCTATATTGTGTCCCTGGCCTCTTCCTCTCTAGTGTCATCTCTGTCTTTCTGCCAAAAGGTGAGTGCCTCTGCTCCACCACAGGCTCCCTACTATGATGTGCTATCTCAACACAGGCCCAGAAGCAAGAGAGCCAAGTGATCATGAACTGAAACCTCTGAAACACTGATCCAAAATAAATCTTTCCTTCTTTGTTATTGTTAGATATTTTGTCACAGTAACAGCTAAATTATACAACAACTACTAAAACAAGCACTTATGCTTCTTAGAAATACTCCTGGGTTAATATACAGTCAAGCATCACATAATGATAAAGTAAATTAACTGCATAAATAACTGTTCCACAACATTGAAAGAAAACTGAAAAATGTCTATAGTCTAGTATTTTTATTGTATGTACCTCTTCTATGTTTTGATATGTTTGGGTATATAATTATTTACCAATGTGTTACACTTGCCTATAATATTTAGTACAGTAACATACAGTATAGGTTTATGACTATGGAGTCATAAGCCATACCATCTAGATTTGTATAAGTACACTCTGTGTCCACAAATAATGCAAATGTCTGATATATTTCTTGGAATGCATCTCTGCTGTTAAGCAATGAGTGATTATATTACAGCTGGATTTCTTATGCAACAATCCTGTAGTGAGAAGAATCCTGTGGAAGACATGTATTAGAACCCTATTTATATTTGTTTAAAAAATAATTTAAAAAATAGCACCTTCAGCCTCAATTACAAAATAACTGAGTATCCAGTGGAGAAATTCCTGAGAAAAATATGATATAAAACTTAAACCTACTCACAAAAATTCAAATACAAAAATTTGTTCATTGCTATGGACTGCTTTCAATTTTAAAGACAAAATCTTGTCAAGTTAATAAAACCCTAATTCACTAATGTGCCAACTATTCTAATTCCTAGACACAGTAATTTTAAGATTTTATAATTTTCCTTTTATTGAAAATGTATCATACTCAATTTCAAGGCGCTTAATAAACTCCCATCAAAGATGGGAGTGGAGGGACCAGGATGACAAAATAATTAGAAAACCAATAAAAGGAACTAACTTAAATATGTATAAGATTAGGGAGGAAAAACGAAAAGATATCAATGACAGACCCTACAAATAAAAGAAAAGGTGCTTTCTTAGTGATATTCCTAAGTAATAAATCACTAAAAATAATTATAGGATGTTTTAAAAAACATTTAGCATCTGCAAAATTTCTTAGCATCTCCAGGACTTGCCTTAAAATCAATGGTATGTCATTGTCAAAAAGTAGCACCATTTTAAAGAAAAAAAAAATGAGAATCAAGACTTGTCATGTAGAGGTACAAGATCCCAACAATTAATGTAACTGTACTGTATCACTAAAATGTACCAATAACTCAATTAAAGCTGAAAAAAAAAGCAGCACCATTTCATTTAATAGAACATGAACTAGTGATGCATATTACAACAGATGAAGTCTTAAAGATTTGACAAAGAAAGGTCATCAGAGTAAGGTTATCAAGGCACTTGGTAAATCAGTACTGCATAAAATATTTGTAAGATATTGTGTCTTAGTACTAACTCCCATGAAAGGAAATTTTAGGTAGAGGAGTAAGTAAACTACTACCAGAATGCTACAGAAAAGACTTTCATATTGGGTAAAGACTCAGGCATAATAAACCCAAATTCCCCTTTGATTATTAAGATATACTCTATTTTGTTATGATCAATGTATTTCAAAAACATTACTGAAAAATCACTATTTTAGGATGTTAGTCTGTAGTATATTGGACAAAATGTATGCCTCTCCCTGTATAAAGGCCACTGAAGTAAAACAATTCACATATCCTGGATTTAAGCCTGAAGAGGAAAAAGCAAACAGTTATAGTTCTGTTCTATAAGGTGTGACTGAAAAATACAGCGAATGTTTAAAAAACTAAGAAAAATAATTACAGTAGAGCACACATTGCATCAATTACCCTCAAAATATTCCCCCCTTGCTTCAATATTCCCCCTTATCCAGTAATTCTTGCCATTTTCTTAAGCAATTTTAGAGGTACTCTTTTATTAGTAGTACTGTTACAGCTGCCTCAATGTCCTGAATCCATTCGAAACATTTACTTTCCTTGGTCATTTTCACTCTGGGTAAGAGCCAGGAGTCCGTGGTGCCACAGCTGATGAATAGGGTGGATAAGAACACACTATAATGTTTTTATTTGACAAAATCCTGCTGTACCAGCACTGTACCAGCACTGTGTGACACGGATCATAGGCACAATGAAAGATGAAACCATTTGGCTATTTCTCAGGCCATTATCTATATAAATCATTTCTTAAATAATAAGCTCTTAAAATATGCAGAGTTCTTTGTAGTGTTTCTGGGTAAAACTCAGCTCAAATGATTCCATTAATTCACCTTGATTTTAGATCTTGATTGACAGACATTTTTTTTTTCACATCATGAGAACTGTGTGCTTTCCATCAAGAGCTTAATCTTAGCCACAGACTCAAGTTTCATTTCTCATGAAGGTATTTCTTAGAAAAATGTAATATGAAACGGCACTACTGTGCAACTTCAATGAAATGTACTGCTCATGATCCATGATTTACGCCATTCTTTAAAATACACATTCTCACAACTGCAGCTCACAATTGAACGACAGATTGAACAAGTTGAAACTTGTAACGTCACTGAGATTTACCACATCTTGCTCATTGAAGATCCATGCCTTTATGTTGGAGGGGATCTGCAGCAGCAATCCCTGTATTTTTTAAAATCACACCATGTACTGTGTTTCTTAATTCCTCCAAAGATAACTTCAAGTGGTATCTTTATTTAAAAAATGTTTCTTACAGATTTTTAGAAATGCAATTGGTGGACCTCCATTATGAAGTTAAAAAGGAGTGGTGATAGTGGGCAGCCCTGAATTATATTTAATCTAAATGGGAAAGCATTCAATGTTATCAATAGTAAGTACAATATTTCTTGTATTCTTTTAAAATAAGAACCTCTTATCATATTGAAAAACTTTCTTTTGGGCCGGGGATTTAGCTCAGCAGTTCTGCCGCGTGCCTTGCAAGTGCCCAGACCCCAGTTCGATCCCCGGTACCAAACCACCCACCCCGCAAAACCAAAACTTTCTTTTTAATCTATCTCGCATGGTATTTTTAAAAACCATGAATGAATGCTGAATTTTATCTTATCTGAAATCTACTAAAATAATCATTGTATTTTTCTTTTTAAATCTCTTAATATGGTGACTCACTACTGGATAGCTAATGTTAAACTAGACTTCAATTCCTGGGAAAATTCATTATCACGTGGTATTTTTTGCAGGTTTGCTGGGTTTATTTTTCCAATATTTTCTTTAAAATCTCTGCATCTGTGTTCATCACTGAAATTGGACGGTAAAAAAGTTTCTCATGTACATGTCAAGCTTTGATATCAATGTGTGTTACCCTCTTAAAATGAGTGGCAACGTTCTCTTTTTCCCTACTCTCTAGAAAAAAAATTATAAAATGTATAATTTTTAAATTTGAGCATGTTTGAGAAATGCAAGGAGTTCACTGGGAGGGTCTTTTGAAGTGTCTACTACTAATCAAATTTATATTAACGGTCACAGATAAACTGAAGTATTCCATTTTTTATATGTTATATTTTTCTAAGAATTTGTTCATACAACTGTATTTTTCAATTTATTTGCATAGTTTTCACCATATGCTTTTATCCAATATCAACAGCATCCGCAGTATTTATTACTTATTCATTTGTTTTCTTTTTGTTCCCCCAATAAAACTCATTAGAAGTTTCTCAATTTTGTTTTTAGTACAGTATTTTAAAGGAATTCCTTTTGATTTCTTGATTTTCTCTATTGGTATGTTTTCTTATTATATGGTTTCTATTCCTGCTACGTTCTGTTCTTATTTTTCTAATTCTGGAGATGATAGTGTACCATACAAACATTCAACTTTTCTTTTTTTCTAACACATACACTTAAAGCTATACATTTCTATCTAAGCAGTACTCCTCTGTAAGTTGTATGCTACAACTTCTGATATAACATTTTTCTTTACCATTCAAAATATTTCCTAGTTTCCAAAATGATTTCTGTTCTGACCATGGTTCTAAGAAGCCTATTTCCTAACTTTCAAATACAAAAGGATAGTTTATCCCCCTTTAAAACAGATTTTTAACTTAATTGCACTGTAGTCAAAGAA